AAACTAACACACACACACACACACACACACACACACACACACACACACACACACACACCTGGACAGTCAGTTTTTAAAAAATACTTTATAGAATAAGAAAAGTTGGAAATTTCACCTTCTCGTACTTTGGTGTTGAAAGTACCACTGAAACTAGAAGAAACATAAATTAATGATATAAGAACTCTACAGTTTGCAAATTTAGCTAAAAATGTTTGAGTATGAGAAACTTTACTTAAAAATATCTATTTAATTATAGTTTATTCCTTAGAAAGCTGTAATAAAAATATTAAAAAAATCTTTGTTAGGTTACATGAATTCAGGTTAGATATAGAGAAAATTATGGAATATGAATATACTATAATTAGACCCAGCTTTTAAAAAGGGGTAAAGAAAAAAGTTTTTTGATTCTTTGTAGGTATACAAACTTTAAAATGTCAGTCTTCAGAAATATTGAATTTACTTTTAAATTTCTCAGTTTTTAATCTAAGTTATTCCATGAGAAATATTTTTGGAAAAAAACAACAAAAACTTCACTTTATTCTATATAAGAATCCGTTACTGCATTTATAGCCATAGCTCTAAACCTATGGTCAATGAACCCCTAGAAGTCCATGAGCATCTTAAAGGGGTCCATGATAGTTCCATATTAGAGTTTCAAAGAAATATTATTTGTTTAAATGGAGATGTATTATTTATAATTTCATTAACTTGCTTACTTATTTATGTCCTCACCATTTTTATAAGCTGTGGGACCAGCTTCTGCAGTTATACCTATCTGTATGTAGAAGGTCCATAAGGAAAGAAAAAAAAGGTTAAATTGCATATTTATAGACACTCAGAAATTGAGTATTTCAATTCATATTCCTTTTTCTAATTGCTTTTGTAGAAAGAAATCATTTTCTTCATAGAAACTTCTGTACATGGACTTTGTAAATAGCTTAATTATAAGGAAATGTGTAGTTAACCCATTAACTGCAGGTGATGGATATTTCCGTCATTGTAGTTCTATGGCTCAGCTGCGAATGACGGAAATATCCGTCAGTCACACATATATAACTCTATGCGAATTACGATAATTACCGTTTTATTGTGATTGATGGTAACTCAGTTTTATCTGTGAGTCAGAAATCGGCAACTGAGCTGCTCCTGCCACAGTTAATGGGTTAAGTTTCAGGAAACTAGTATTGGTAAGATCAATTTAGTTTAAATCTATGAGTATGTCTATGTTTATTCTCATTTATATTAAAATTACCTTTTAATTCATTTATTCATAGTGTTAATGTTGGCTGTGGCCCTGCTGAAGAGAGAGTACTATTGACTGGTCTCCATGCTGTTGCTGATATCTACTGTGAATGCTGCAAGACCACCCTTGGTTGGAAATATGTAAGCTTCTTTAATAATAAGTAATTACATTGCTTTTTATTTGTTTATTTCTTGGTAAGTTGTCCACATTAACTAGTATAAGTGGTCTCGTTAGCAGTTTTTTTTTAAATGATTACAATTATATTTCTTTTTTGATAAAATGTTTTTTTCTTGCAGTTGATTGTGGTCTATCATTGTTGCTGTGGATATTTGTCATTTGAAAAGTTATGATTTGATCATAAGTTATGTATTCTGTTGAAATCCGTTGGTGGTGCATCAAAGACTTAAGGGGAATGTCTGGTAATGGAATACATATGATGATTTCATTGCTTAGACTCTGCTGTAATAATTTGAGGATTATAACTTGTCACAGTGGAGCTTCACTTCAATCATGTCCTACTAATACTTAAACTATTTTTTAATTAAAAACTCTAAAATAACTGAAGAACTGAGCATCTTTAGTTGTATTTTTCATCTGGTTTTTTAATACTTTTTTTCACGAATAACTCGCTTTAGTGATTAATGCTTACTCAATTTCTTGTTTTTTGCAACTAACTACCCTTACCTCACACCCAGTACATCTTACTTATCTATTAGTAAATAGTCTTTTTATCTTCTTTTTTTTAGGATGTTAGAGAAAAATTATTGCTTCTGTTCTACTTAGGTTCATTAGTTTATTGTTTTGTTTACTATATGTGAGAAAGTACTTTGTTAATGGTAGTATCTTTGGTTTTCTTGGTTCTAATTTTTAAAAACTTGTTCTAGTAAATTTTTTTAGGTGCTAGATAAATTTTACAGTCATAGCTGCTGACTTTTATGACTTGGTCATAAGATACATGATTTTTGGCCACCCCCTTTGTAAAAAGTTGTACATTATTTAAACTTTTTCAAAATCTTTTTTAACACTGCAACCTGAATTTTATTTGACTTCACATGGGATTGAAGATTAATTAACATTCTGACATAAGAGTCTTTTTGTATTGTACTTATAATTCCCATCTATTTATTGTTCAATCATGATTGAAAACGGTGGCAGATTATGATAAGTGTATTGCTCTCGTCTTTTTCTTTGTATAATAAATGTGGACTGTTTTCATGTACTAGACACTGGGAACAAATTTAGGATGCTTTCTTTGTACAGGTCACCTTCATTTTATGGTGATTAAAACAAGTGATGGCATTGTTGTTGTTGTTGTTTCAACCATGGTTTAAATTCAGATTTCTTTGTTGAAATTCAACGATGATTCTGAATTCTTAATCAGCAGTAAAGTGTTGTTTTTTTTTGTGTTTTTTTTACGTATAACAAAAGACTCTTAAAATGCATCAGAAAATTCCCAGGCAACTCGTAAAAAAAATTTATTGCAATAGCAAGTCGTATCACAGAACAGAAATTGGATAAGTAAGAGTTTGCTGTATTTTGTTTTGTGTGTAGCTGTTGGTGCTTGTTTAAAATATTTTACTTAAATAATTTGATTAGTTCACATAATGAATACTGAAGTATAATTTAGTAGGACCACTGGAGGAAGGTTTGGTATTTATAAGATGGCAGAAACATTTAAAAGGAAATAAATAATACATAAGTGGCAGTGTATGTTTATGTATTCTAAACTTTCAGAACTGCCTAAAGTCAGAACAACAGTGTTCTGTTTCAGCACAATCTTGCAAATTGCTAACTTTCATAAAATTCAACTCAGGCTCTAAGACAATTGCATTGAGGTAATCAGTGTTTTGTTATATCAAGAACCAAATTTTAACAGAGCAGTTTATATAATAATTGCAATGCAGTACTATAGTTTTGTTCATTACTTATACTTGAAATAAGAACTTCAAAGTGACACTGAAAAAAACAAAAACAACTAATTTCTTTTTAATCTGGAAGGCTGTAGCCATTTAAAACATTGTGTGATTAACCTTGAGGCTTCCCGTCTAAGAAACTTGTAACTGATCGACTGTATGTTTACACAATCTAACAAAACCTTTAAACAGCTCCAGTAATTCAACAGTTAACTTTCAATACACGAATACGTACGAACTTTTAACATCTACTGTTAACAGGGATAATTTTCTATATTTTTTACATAAACGGAAAACATTTGAAAAACTTTGAAGACAGTTTAATTACAACATTTAAAAACGTGTTTTCTAGTCATTAGTGGAACACTGAACAGCCACTTAACCTAATCTTAATCTGATTTGAATGTTGCTACTATCTAAAGTATGTAATCCAAACAAATTTATCCTGTCAACCATATGTTAATGGCATTTAAATAACTAAAAATTAATTTATTAGCACTTAAAAAGGAACATATCATATTGTTCCCATAAATGAGTGGTTTGGGGTATAAAATAAGCTGCATTTACTACATTTTCTCTCGCCAAGCTGTACACAAATTCTTTTGTATAATTCTTCAGTCAATAATAACTTTAATCTTCAGTCAATAATATCTTTAAGTACAAACCTAGTTAAAGATTACTTCTTATACTTGTTTTTTGGTAATAACGTATCAAAAGGTTTTAAAAAAATTTTGCCATGTAATTTTTAATGTGTATTAAGAAGAAGTAAAAAGTATAATAAATGTAATTACCATTTTGTTTGGTTATCTTCATGTTTTTGAATACATTGTATTTGTTTCAGCTAAAACACTATGCTTTATTGAATGTATTGATTTATTTAGACTTGATGTACCAATGTATTTTTATTTAATTTTTAAAAATTACACTATTTACAATGGTGTAAACTTGTGAATTTTCTGGAACAATTGCTTAGTAAACAGTATTTACATTTACAAATTTGTGAAGTTAATATAGTTTCAAATTTGTTGCTTATCTCAAAATGTAATTAAAAGTGAGATACTGTGTTTGTGTGAAAAAAGCAATTGTTTTTAAACATTTTAATGGTGGAGTGTATTGCTTTTCATTATGCAGTTTTACCACTGAAGTATGTTCAATAAGGCAATAGTAAAGTTGTAGAACTATCTTAAACTTGTTATAATGCAGAAATGATTAGCTTATAATGTGTATCACAAAATACTATTGAAAATTTTACACTACACAGCAGCAAAATTCTGTATTTTCATTTTGTTAAAAAATTATATGCTAAGTTCGAGCTTAATATTTTCCATCACACCAACAAACAAAGTTCCCCAGTGGGTCAGTAGTAAGTCTATGGACTTACAATGTTAAATCAGGGTTGGATTCTTTATGGTGAGCAGAGCAGAAAATGTAGTGCTAAAAATGTACTAATTCAAGTAGTCTTTCTTATTTTCACTTTATCAATTTGAAGAATAATGGTTGGAATATAGTTTTTAAACAAACAATTATCTATGGAAGTTAAATAGGAACCATTGTATTAAATAGATAGTTAATAACACCTGTTTTGGATTTAATTTTCTGTTGAAAGGTAGTTTGATTAATGTGTTGCACCTTGTATAAATAAAAATATATTGTAATGCATAAAGTTATACTGTCGGGTAAAATAGGAAAGCAGGGAAAGCAAATGTTTGATTCATTAATCAACTCTTTGAAGCTTCATAGTTATCAATTATTATATAGTACCTCAAATACCAAGCTGTTCAAAATCTTCAGTTACAAAAGTTACAATTATATCTTGCTCTAGTAGTTGGGTATGAACTGTTATTGTCTACATTTGTGAGTTTAAACTTTCACTATTACACATAATAAGGTACAGTACTTGTATATTTATAGATGTTCAAACAAATTTGATGTGCATATCCAGATATAATGATTAATATTAATTATGATTGCAGTATCCTTCAACATTTCATGAAACTACTGCAACATGTATATCATGCTGTATGCTAGTTACATTTTATATGCCACATCAATCTAAGAGTTGTAAGTTAACAGTTTTGTATTTTAGTGACATATTAATACAAATGTTTGTTTGATAAGATTCAAATGTATCGTAGATATTGTGCATATGATTGGTAGGCCTCAAATATAGTACAGATAATTATTTAATAGGTAAATAATATGCACTGTAGTATTGAGGATAAATGCTTAAACATTAGAGAAAGCTAGCTGTTGTTGAAGGATTATGAAATAAAAAAAACAAAACGTTTTGTTAATAGGAACATGCTTTTGAGTCCAGTCAGAAATACAAAGAAGGAAAGTACATCATTGAGCTGGCCCACATGATTAAAGAAAATGGATGGGATTGACAGTGGTCACAAGAGTTGTACGGTAATTTGACTGGATGCAAAGTTAAAACTATAAGAACCCATGATTGTCTGGTGATAGTGTTGCTTTACACTTATAAGAGTAGAATATGTAATTGTTTTTTAATCCTTATATGTGGGAATTTGAATCTGTCGGTACAACTTGACTATTCGTTTTTAAGTCATCAATCAGCGTGTTACAAGTCAACCATAACAACAATGTTAACAACTTCTATTTGCATATATGGCAGCCAAGAGTACTGTTGATATTCACAGCAGATGGTACTATATTTTTTTCTCATTCAATTCATATGTGATTTGGCTTCATCTTTCCAAAAGGTTTTGTAGTACCAAAGTGAGTTTTTGTTTTTATTCAGATGTTCTTTGCTTGCAACATTTTTCATGTTTTGGTCATATGTAGATAATGTCAATTCTGAATGAAGATGAGAAAGAAGAATGAAAGAAAACTCACTTTTTTACACGTTTATCATAAAATTGTCTCTGTAGAATTGTGTAGTTTAATATTAATTTTTGTTTGTTTGCTTGTTTTTTTACTTCATTTCAGTTGTAAATACATTTTATAAATGTGTATGTTTTTTTTATAAGCTTCAGTGTGAATTGTATAGAAGGACTTTAAATTTTAGATAGTAAATAAAAAAAAGAATGTTTTTTAAAATGATGAAATTATGTACTGACTTTTTTGTTATAGTGATAATGTTTGTAATAATAGTAAAAAAAATTGTTTCAAGTTGAGACTTGTATTTTTGAATAGGAACTTAGATTGTTGGAATTATTTAACAATATTGAATAGCTGGTAAAGAAATCTTTGCTGTGTATGTATTTACATTTGTGTATATTATTTACTGTTTATATATTAATGTCTTGGTGTGGATGTCATACATGAAATTCAACGTGTGTATTTCTCCCTCAGCTTGCACTGTGTTCAACATATCATTATCATCTTACAAAGCCTTAAAGATTTACAGTTCAGCCAGGTTACCCGTGTGGTTTAAGATGTATCAATATTCTCAACTGTTTTGGTGATGGAATGAATAAAGATTTGCAGTTAATTGCATTGTTAGCAAGATTTTATTTAAAAACAAAAAAACAGCTGTTTTTTTTTAATATGTTTGGAAAAGAGAAGTTAGTGTCGGATGCCTCGAACATTATTGTTACAGTTCTTTTAAAGGTTATATAAAAAAACTAAATTCCTTATTTGCTTTTTCCTCCTAACCTTGTGCTTAAAGTTAAATTGATATTCTTTGTTTTGTGTACTATGTTTAACTTAGTCTTTTGCAAAGTACACTTTTTTGCTATCTGTTGATTTAATTCTTGATGTATAATGTATGATGTGTTTTTAATCTTTGTCGCATAACTAAGCATTCTATGTTTTATGATTTTAATTTTTTGTGTTTAAATTTAAAATCCCCTCCTGATCTTTTATCAATATTATATATAAAACACAACTTGAATAAAAAAAAAAAAAAATTGTAAATAGCTAAAAGAATACTTAGATCAATCAAAAGGCAAGTTATTACATTTAAATTTCACTTGTTTTCCTTTTCTAATTTCATATAAAATGGTTTTGTCGAGTATTTGTTTTATTTATTTATTTAAATTCATTGCTATTCTTAAAATGTCTGATTATATTTTTTAAGAAGTGTTCAAATAAATAAAACTTACTATATTGACAACAATCAAATGTATTTTTCAGCTCAAACAGTATATTTGAAATATTGTGAAGTTACATAACAAACAAGGATTCTTTTGATTTTTTTTTATATTGAGAAATCTTTGCACAGAACAACCTGTGATGATATAAAATAACTATTTAATGTAATCTGAAAATGTTATTATTTGGTTTTAGTTAGATCTGGTCTGAGACAGTGTTTATCTTCCAAGCTTAAAACATGTGGCAAAGTTTTTGTACCTCTACAGAATGAAGACTTCTAATGGGACCAGAAAATGAAGCATGGTGTTAACATGTCTTAAATGATTTTCTTCATAATTATCAAAACATGCATGTTGTTTCAGATACTGTCAAAATAGTCCGGTCATTTTTGGAATTACTCTTAATAGACTTCAGCTCATTGTTTTAGTCTTTATACTGGAGTTTTCATATGATCACTTTTTTTTGTATCAGTGCTAAGTCTAGAAATATCACACATCAGCTGATCAGATTAAATGTGTCAGATTTTTAAAAACTAATTTTCTCCTGATATTAATTCCATGATATTGGGTGAATTTTGAAGCTCATCACGAATGGCTTTCTTCAAATACTTTCTGTTCTGTGACTGTCGTATGTTATTTATAATAGGTTTGCACAGTTTAAAGAAAACTATTTTTATGAAAGATAATGAGAACATAAAGATATCTAGATATTTAAAAGTAGTAATAAAGGCAACACTCAATAAAAACGAAGTATCTGAATGACGTCTGAAGGCTAAGGAAGTGAGGAAAATATTTTCCTAATAATGCTTTTTCTTAGTACTATTTTATTCCTCTAAAAAGTAAGAATTAGAAATCTAATGAAAAAAATATGTGACTGTGTGTGTGTGTGTGTGTGTGTTACTATAAGTTAATCCTGTCTTTTAGAAATAAAAAGAAATCTAGTCCTACAAGTTTAAAATGAATACCCAAATAACTAAATTTATGTAAGAAATGCTGTTGAATCCTAGCAAGAGGTATTTCTCACTTTGAGGGTTTGCATCCTTATTTTTGAATTGCTTTACTAATTTCAATGAACCTTGATGTACAGGCAAAAGATTTATTTACCAATTATAATCTGAAATATTTACACTTTAGGAGAGAGAATAAATTTAGGTTTCAGAGTTCTACATTCCTTGCCAATTTTCTTATAATTACAGTCATGCATTGAGTTTATTTTCAAAAATAGAGGAAGGTTTACCCACAGTGATGACTTTTTTTTTCATTCAACATAGTTTGAAAAATTAAATATGTATATTATAAATGAAAGATATTTTAACAAGCAATCTTTGACTCCACAGCAGAAAATATGATTATTTTGTAGGTAGTGGAATATCCCATGAAATCTAGAAGTTTAAGAATGAGATATATGACTGTGTAAGGCATGATCTAGGGATAATTTTGCCTTGCTGTTTTCTTTGATCAAAGTAATTGTTTCTCTCCTACCATATTGGACCACCTGCATGCTATGATCATGATATTTTACCATTATTTTAATACTAATCTCTCCTTTTATTCTTGTAATGTTTGTACACTTCACTCAGTTTTCATATTCTCCCTTCCTTACGTGATCTTGAATTGTTCTCCTCCTTCACATTTGCAAGCTTCACACCATGCTGAATCATCTTTATTCTTTTTCCCATCAGATACAGATTTAAGTTTATCACTCTTGTGTGCAGGTGTACTTCTTATTAGGAGTTTGACAACACCACCACCACCAAATCTTCTCTGACCTCTCTTACAGCAAACTTTTTGAACAACTAGTGTGCCATCATGATTGCATATACATATGCTATATTTGTAATACCTTGGACATTTTGCTACTTTACCTTTGCATGTAAGCTTTGAATCCAATCATGTTTCCATCTTGAGAAGAACAAACACTCTGAGTTTCTGGCTCACTATCTCTGCAGTTCATACATATGCTACATTTGTAATACCTTGGACATTTTGCTACTTTACCTTTGCATGTAAGCTTTGAATCCAATCATGTTTCCATCTTGAGAAGAACAAACACTCTGAGTTTCTGGCTCACTATCTTGGCAGTTCTTCACAGGTTTTACAAAATTTGGGAATTATGAGAGTTTTATAGGTAATATACTATAACAATGCCATGATCATTGTCTAAATTAGGGTAAAAATCATTCAACTCTACTGAAATAAACCAATCATAAGTTCTTTGGATGCTATCCAATCATAGGTTGGAATACACCTGGATTCTTCATAAAATAATGCATATTCCTGTAGATTTTCAAAATATAAAAGGACAAATGCTAGATATGATTCCTACAAAGTGCCCTAACATTTTTGCTTATATTGAGTCAAAGATTGCTTGTTACATTTGGTAAACTGTAATTGAGACATTGTAAGCTCAAATTTATGAGTGATCTCAAAATGTGTTGTTGTTTGTTGTCGTTTTTTTTGTAGCTGCCAGATTTAGGCAATAGTACATGAGTAAAAAACAAACAAACAATTTTTTTTGTTTGTTTGTACAATTTATGTGCTTGATATTAACATTTAAGGACTGTATCATGAAAGAAATGTTCATTAGTAAGTTGAAGGTGTACAGTAAACAGTGAGCAAAAGTTTTATGGATAAGATAGGGTAGTTTTTATCCAACAGCATTGTCTTGTTTGTCTGTGTGTTTTCACTGATTATGTTGTAAGATGTTAATGTGTGATACATAGTTTCTGGCATATGGTTACTAGAAGGTTAATAGACTTGGAAGTTAGAATAAATATTTTCTATACAAAAATATTTTGAGTAGGGTTTTGTGTAGCTTTATGGTGTTTAGAGGTGATAGGTAACCTCTAGTGTTAATTTCTGGTATTCATGTTTTTATGTAAAAGATTATGTATTTCAGTGAGGGCATCTGACTGCTAATTACTTGCCTTGAAATATTTATTGTCAACTGTAACTTTTTCAACAAGTCCTAGTGTTTGTGATCTCATCTGTTTGTAATGAGAGGAATTTCTTTGTTTTGAAATGTTTTTATCTACATTGTATAAAGCATGATAAGATCTCTGCCTAACATGTACCATGTGTGGCGTTTAAGCATGTCGAGTATATTCTAGATAAGCAGATGTTATGTATTATCAAATATTTAAATATCCTTAAACTATTAGAAATCTGACCTTTTCAGTGTCACTCTAAAAACTCCAGTACACAGCTGAATATTAAACAGTTTGTGTCATGTTCAGATCATATGTGAAATTAGTCCTGGACTTGTGTCAAATATTATTATAATAATTATTTGATTGACAGATAATGCACTTGTGAAATATCCTGCTCCCCACCAACCCCTGACAGATTCATCTTAAAGATGGTTAAAAGTATAAACAAGTTGTATCTCTTCTTCAAGGAAATGTTGATTTGTAGAAACTGTTTACCTTCAGAAAAAATGAACTTTGTGCTCATCCTATAATTTCCCCCAAAAAGTTACTGAACTTGCCTAGCTCGGGAGCTGTCCCCACTGCAGTGTTGGTGCTATGCTGTTTAAAGCAGCTTCAATATCCAGCTCCGGGGCTCACAGTCTGGCTGTTTAATGGTTTTGTAACTGTCATCAGCTGAGTGTTAGCCTTTATCTACCCAAGAATGGACATAAATTTCAAGGATAAACTTCTTTAGAAGGAATCCAACTAGTTTCTAGGACTCTACACCAACAAATCTGTGCAACTTATTCATTAGAATTTTAAGTTGATTCAACACAATTACAAATTGGAGTTCAAATGACACCCAGTACTGCCAGAATTTTAGAAGATATAACCTGTGTTGGATATCTATTGACTAATATTTGATGTTAAGCATGTAACTCGTACAGACAACATGGGTAACTTTGTGCATTCTGTTGAAGATCCCTAAAACAACTTATTTAATATTCTTGAAACTAAAGCTTTATACCAGCATTATATTTAGGGATTCATAATTAATTTTACAATTCTGTGAAATCCTTCATGGAAACTTATTTTAACCTATTAGTGTATGAATTATTTAAAATTATGATTTAAATTTCGAAAGTTTCTTCATTATATTCCACTGTCATAACTATGATAACAATGTAAGATTATAGTTCTGGTATCCAAACTGTTTTTGTGATAGGCAGTAAGAGTGTTCTGTATTACCAGTTTTAATGTTGCATGGCATGTTGGTTCTAGACTATATTTATTAATATACAAGTGCAGAAAACCTGTCAGCAATTGATTTGTTTAATAGAGCTTTAATTATTTACCTACTGATATACTTTAAAATAGTTCTTTAGTTCAAAACAAAAACAATATTATTCAAGTTTAATTATTGAAGTTCACTTTTGTTAATGATCTTTTAAAATTACTTTGGCAGTTAAATGATTTGACCTGAATGGCAGTTGTTTTATCAATATATCACATATAATGTTCTCAAATAAAATGATTCACTTTCACATACTAAATGTAATATTTTCTCATTAGTATTTTTTAGGTTATATCACAACCAGAATAACAAGGTGTAAGAGTTCTAGCATAAACTGTGAAATGACACCAAAAAAAAAAATCATCATTGCCTTGGATTGAATACAGTACTTTTTAACTCTTGAATCCTCTAAATTTGTATCCGGTAAATTTACTTCAAAACATGCAGAATTAAAACTGCAGGTTGTGATAAAATTGTGTTCTGTAGGTCATAAATATTTTTTTGAAGATATTAATTTGATGGTGAGCACTTGGAAATCAGGTTGACATTTTGAATAAGCCCAAATTTCAATAGCAATCTGGTAAGTACTGATTAAACTTGAGGTTAAGGAAATTAAGAATGGCCTGTTTATTTTTTATAATGTATATTGTGAGTTGACAAATAACTTTGATCACACTGCACCTAATGTCATGTCCCTGACTGTGCTGAATTAATTTTAATTACTAAGGAGAAGGAACTTGTAAGACATTTACACTCTGTTTTTAATTATTAAGAAGAAAAAAATGACATAATGTTATTATCTCAATTGTTAGCCTAAAATAGAATACAGTTTTTCATTAGCACCTTCATTAGGATAAAATGATTTTAAAACATACAGAATACATGTTTTTGCCTTTAATGATAAGTGTAAGTGCACAATATTACTCTTGTCAGTGTGTTGCTAATTAGAAAAAAAAAATGGTTTGGTAACAAATACTTGGATGAGTCGTTAAAACTAAGGAAATTAGTCAAACACATCTTAAAACCATAGGACTTTGTACTAGTTTGGCAGATCTCACCTTTGTAAGCAATTTTCATAAAGATATCATCGTATGCTTAAGTTTTCCTGTAAATGAGTTGAAAGTAAATTAATTTTATTGACTGTGTTACAAATAGTAACTTTAGAGTAGTTATATTTATTAGATTGTGTATACATGTACAGAATTTGAAAACAGTATGACAATTTATACAGTGAACTCTTCATTAATATCTGAAAAACGTATGCTACAATAAGCTACGATAATGTAAAAACAAATTTGAAGGTTAACATTTGATTTTGTAGAGCTGCTGTTTGTTAAAGATATTTGAACTTTTAACAATATGACAAGTATGGGTGTGGTATAAGGTCTTACTTCTTTTTCCAGTTATTCTGTATTTACTCAAATTTAGCAAATTTATACAATATATCATTACTGTGTTTGTAACTTATGTTTTACTAAGAGTTTGAAATTTAAATAACATTATGGAAGTTTGTATTTTCAAGTAAACATGAACTGTACATGGTACATTGTTTACTGCCTCTAAGTTATTATCAAGAAATGGGTCTTATTTGTCAGATGTGTTTATTAAATCAGCTACCCTCCTGGAAGGTCAGCAATAAGTTTATGGACTTACAATGCTAATATCTTGGGTTTGATTCTCCTTGGTGAGTAGAGTGTAGATAGCCCATTGTGTAGCTCTGTATTGAAAAATAACAAAACAAAAACAATAGTTAAACTAATTAATAGATTTAGCTTCTTGGGAACTATAAAGCATTTTAGCCTGTATGTTATGGCAACAGTGATGTTTCTCTTGACAAGTCAAATGACTGCTGTCAGAATAGCACCAAATTGTGTGGCGAAATTTACTAAATTGTCACTTAATTATTACACAGGTCTGTGATAGTTTTAATGTTTTGAAAATTTTACATGTTCTCTAGTAATTCCTGTATGCTGAATCCGAAAATAATATCCATTTTTCTCCATCACTTACAGATTTTTCACAAAACTTTATAATGCAGTATATAATAGAAAGACCACAGCACATAGTTTTAGTTTGAGACTAAAAGACATAGATTTCACAAAAAAAAATCAGAATGCATATTTGTTTGACATCAATGTTCTTCCCTTTTCTTCAGTTTGTATTTTTTGTTAACAAACATGATAATAAAAAATTTTCATTGTGGTAAACGAAATAATAATTTGATCTAAATTTATTTTTTTTTTCTTCTCGATTTGCAAAATAATCCTTACATGATAGAAAAAAAATTAATATTATTTTCTAAATCTACACGGCTAAATTATGGAAAATCCATTATTAAAACCACAACAACATTTATGAAGTTTAAATTTGCAGACCTGTGTTATTTCTTTCCATAATAACTTTTCCATGAATAAATGACATAATTACTTGTTGTCCTTTCAGGTTATTTGTGTACTGAACACATTTGTAAGATAGCTGCCAGGAACTAATCTTCCAAGCTATTATTCATTATTTTCTAGACAATACCCCTACCTTGTTAATATTTGGAAGTTAGCTGCCAGTAACTAATCTTCCCAGTTATTATTCATTATTTTCTAGGTAATACCCCTACCTTGTTAATATTTGGAAGATAGCTGCCAGTAACTAATCTTCCCAGTTATTATTCATTATTTTCTAGGTAATATCCCTACCTTGTTAACTTTTAGAAGATAGCTGCCAGTAACTAATCTTCCCAGTTATTATTCATTATTTTCTAGGTAATACCCCTACCTTGTTAATATTTGGAAGATAGCTGCCAGTAACTAATCTTCCTAGCTATTATTCATTATTTTCTAGGTAATACCTCTACCTTGTTAACTTTTAGAAGATAGCTGCCAGTAACTAATCTTCCCAGTTATTATTCATTATTTTCTAGGTAATACCTCTACCTTGTTAACTTTTAGAAGATAGCTGCCAGTAACTAATCATCCCAGTTATTATTCATTATTTTCTAGGTTATACCCCTACCTTGTTAACTTTGAATATTTTAGAAATTGCAGAATGAACACTTAATACACACTGCTAAAATACTCTGAATTTAGATCATTCTTGTAAGACTTTGAAAATAGTCACTATGTGTAAATACTGAATCTTGGTACATATCTGTATGTATATTAGTTGTAATTGATGTAGATGCAATCTGGGATAAAAGTTTCAGAAGAGCAATATTTTTTAATGCATAAACACACTCTAGGCATGCACAAGGTGTGTGATCAGACATCAATTTTGCAATTACATTTTTATCTTGTAAATGTGTAGCATACGAATATAATTTCTTTAGTCAAAATTTTTTCTGATAAAATATCATAGAAGGTATGCATGCATACATCATTATTTTCATATATATACTTTCGATAAGTAGTAGCAGTTTTCATGCTAATAGATAATTTTGCAAAAAATATTCATATACGTCAAGAGAAATAAAATGAAAACTGTCAAGTTGAAGTTTTTAAACATTATTTTAAAATTACTGGTTTGTTGTAATCAAGCATACCAGTTTTTAAACCCTTTGTTTTCTTTTATGTCGTTATACACCTTACAAATGTAAAAGAACTGGGTTTTTTTCCTCATTGTGCTGAAACAATCAAATGGTATTAATGCTACACTGGTATTGTTACTGGACAAGTAATTGCAAAGTAAATTTTTGTATATGGTATGTTTAATTGTTATTGAAACCCTTGAAATAGTCAACTGAATAGCTATGGAGAAACTTGTATAAGAATAATAATTGATTCAGTGTGTAGACAAATGTGGTGGTGATTATTTATTGACTTTTATTGTATCGGTATTTATTGCCAATAAACTGTGTTTTGATAATTTTTTGGATATTTGTTTTTTTCACTTATGATACAGGTTACATTTTAAAAATTGGAAGATTTTGTAGCAATTCATAACTTAAAGACACACTAAATGATACATTAGGACACAAAAAACTTGTATAGAAATAACATTAAATGTAACTCAAAAGTTAGTCTACGTTTCTAATACCTTATAAATCATTGCTTCATATATACTTTATCTTGCCTTATTCTTGAATGTTGAGATGAGTAAAATCTAAAATTTGCTCCCCACCCCACCCAAATAAAGGAGGTTCATTTATCTCCCATTTTTGATTCAATATGTAACTTGTGTAGAACAAGGACTTGGACATGTTTATTGATCGGTTATAAGATAATAATTAGTCTTCATGTTTATGAGGTTTTTTGAATGTACTTTTCAACTTAGTGTAAAACATTTTATGTGATAATAGGAAGGTTTATTAATTTTGTAACACAAGCAATGATCACGTATGTCTAATTTCAGTTCATGGATAATACTGTTACGACAGCGGGGGTCACGTGACCCTGGTAACACGTCATATTCTCGAAGGTTCGTGAATGCTCGAGCATTTACTAGATTTCGGTATTCTTGTATACATAAGACCGATAAGAAGTGACGGCAAAAAAAGTAATTGAACTGCAGACAAAGATTGACGATTAAGTCGAGCACGTGAGTCGTTCGTTGTGAATTATAGCGTTTGTTATAGCGTGACGGTGGAAATTAAGTGTATTGCAAAGTTGTATTTAGAAAGAATAAACCAGTTTTATTTAAGGAAGAACTTGTATTGCTGAAGTTTTTCTGAAAGAATTTCTACGGAAAATTAACAAACGATCAGAGGCGTAACAATACTTAAGTTTTGTAGCTATACTTCTCATGAATTTTATCTTATAGTTATACTGTTTTGTTCAATATTCTGTCATTTTTCTGGAAGCATTAATAAACAAAATACTGTGGAGAGACAAGTGAATATACAGAAAAATATGTTAGGAGAATGTAAACAAACACAAAGTTTAAGGCAGTGTTTTCCAAACTATAGGGCGCGTACTGGTGGGTGGGGGAGGTTGCTTTTGGCGGGAGAACCCAAAAATAACGTCAGAAGAAACAGACAAGTTGGAGATGGCAATAACCTAACAAAACACTCACTTTGCATCAACCACTTAGCTAGATAGTACTTCACCCATCTAAGTTAGTTATAATTGATTAATTCTTATCACCTTACATGATATTAAATAATTAGTCATTAGTTTAACTATTGGTATGTATCATACCATCCGCGTAGCTCTTAATATATTTTATTCCCTCGTAGGACTAAACCTTAATTTCGTGTGTGTGGGAGCTGAAGAGGAACAACTGTTTCTGAGCGTATTTTTTTTAAAGTCATTTATCCCAAACATACCTGGAAGCTTCAGAAGGTTCCCATTCCTTCAACACCTTGTATCTGGCCTCCAGATACTGGAAAGTCGAGCTGAACCAGATGAGCAAGCCTAAGATTGCTTTGAATATGTGAGATGTCTTGTATGAATTCCAAGCCATTCCATTTGGCCTATGTAATATGCTTGCCACTTTTAAGAGGCTAATGAAACTTACATAAAAGAGACTGCAGTGGGAAAGATGCTTGGTCTACATCAACGACGTTTTGGTGTTTCATTATATGTTCGAGTTTATGGCTGAGAACCTGTAAGTGGTATTTCAGTGAATAAATAAAGCCAGCTTGAAACTTAAATCTGGAAAGTGCTCATTCATGCCCACAGAAGTGGAGTTTCTTGGTCACATTGTTGGGAGAGATGGAGTCATTACAAAGTCAACTATGATAGCCATGATGACAGATTGGCCTTAAACTTTGCTAAAATGAGAAATTCACATTTTCTACAATTTCATATTACTGATAATTTGTAGCCAGCTTTTCCAAGATAGCAGAACTATTGTCTTTTATCACGAGATTTTAGATGAACTTTGGATGGAGCAAGGAATGTGACAAAGCATTCTGACTCATAAAGCTTGATTTAATGGCCGTTCCTCTTCTTCCTTATTGGTGACATTGAGTTTCTGGTATACGCCAATGCCAGTGACAATGGAATCGGAGTAGTGTTATTGCAGTTGCAGGATGGAATAGAATATATAATCACATATTCTAATCGTACCTTCATGGCTCCTAAATGCGGATACTATATGACGAATAAATAACTGCTTGCAGTTGTGGTCTTTATAAAACACTATAGCCATTACCTGTATGGTAGGAGGTTCTCTGTCCATGTAGACCATACTTCACTTAGTAGCTAATGAGCTTTTAAAATCTAGAAGTAATAACACTGTCATAATGCATAGCCTAAGATTGCAACACGGAAACTTGTCTCGCTGCATAGTGAGACCTTGTCCAATTGTGGATTATCCTGATCCTGGACACTATCTTGGAATTGAAACCATAGCCATTTTTACCAAATCAAATGCAAGCAATTAAGTACGAGATTGTGCTGTTGCATAAATACCAAGATTAACACTTAACAAGTTCTGGGTAGAGTAACTGAAAGATCCCAATTTAATGTGGGTGCTCCATGGCATACAACAGGGTAAAACCCAATCAGTACGAACATAGCAGTCAAGCACAAACATATATAACCTGTGACACTTGTATGAGCAATTACATTTTCAGGAAGGAGTGATGAACTGGCAGTATAAATCATTAGCTGTGGTTTTTTAACTGTGATACAGCTAGTTGTTCCCAGAGCTCTATGGCAAGATAATCTCCAGATTTTCCATAACACATGAACTGGAGGGCACCAAGATATTATCCACACTTGTGCTAACACTCAATGATTCGGCAATGATGCAAATACTGTATGGTGTGTGATTCCCAGACAA